CAACTACTGGCGCCATCCGGGCTGGGCAGTGGCAGCTTCTGGCTAGATTCTAGGCTCCCTAACTGCGGCAGCTGCAGAAGATGCAGGGGCTCAGGCTCCCTATCTTTGACTGCCGCAGAAGTTGCACAGGCTCACTTGCCTTAACTGTCACGGTCGGTGAAGTTGCAAAGGCTCACGCCCCAAAACTGCGACAGCAGTTGGAGTTGCAAACTCGACGGGGAAGAAACTGCTAAAGCGCAAGCGGACGGATAGTACGAAAACGCTGCGAATACCGTGCCAAACGCAGGTGCCGCCAAGAAGGTTTTAACACTCCTAAAAGCTGCAGCGCAACATCTTATAAACATCAAAAACACAGATGCCAGCTGTACGTGGGAGGAGCTCGCCAACACCCCTAAAGCCCAGACTTCGGCATAAGAGGGTTTGCTTTTTGAAGTACTGTGTGGTGTGTGCGCGCTAGGTGTGGAGATTTTGCTCGGGGTGTCCGCAAAACAGTGTAGTGATCATCCCCCGAAAAACTTCCCCCCACCCAATTTCGAGTTTTCGCCGAAAGCCATCGAAATCCAAAAATCGAACTCGCAAAGTGCAGAAGTAGGTTTGGTGACTATATAAAAGGGTCCGACATCACAACAGTACTGCAAATACCGAGTAAAAGGCTCTTGTGGAGGTATTGTTCGGGGTGTATGTGTAACAATGTTGTCATCGGCACCCCAAAATCCAGGAATGGATTTTGAGGCAAGAAGAAGTGGTATGACACGACGAACGTACCGTAAATACCGAGTAAAACAACGTGCTGTCAAGCAGAGGTGGTTGGTAGGGGGGGTAAAACCACTGCTGCTGCTGCTACTACTACTACTACTACCACTACCACTACTACTACTACTACCTACTACTACTACTACTACTACTACTACTACTACCACTACTTCTACTACTACTACGCCTACTACTACTACAACTACTACTACTACTACTACTTACTACCTACTACTTACTACTACTACTACTACTACTACTTACTACTACTACTACTACTACTACTACTGCTACTACTACTACGACTACGACTACGACGACGACTACTACTGGTACTACTACTACTACTACTACTACTACTACTACTACTACTACTACCTACTACTTACTACCTACTACCTACTACCTACTACCTACTACCTACTACCTAGTACCTTCTTACCAATACTACTACTACTACTACTACTACTACTACTACTACTACTAGGCTTGCGCGCCTCCTGGCGCCTGGTACTTTCAAGGGGTTAGAGGGTTAAAAATACTGGGTTTTACAGAGTTTCTGGAAAATGCAGTTAAGTTAACTTCCGAAAAACTACTTTGGTTTACTAATAATTACACTTTTGGATGATGATGATAGTGATGAAGATGCTGATGAAGATGCTGAGAAAGACAGCGATGTGCATGTTATTGACGGTGGTGGAGGTCGTGATGATGACGATGATGACGATGAACATGCTTAGGATGAGAATGATGGTACTCGCAAACCTACGGCTTCTGCTACTGCTACTGCGAGTAGGACTGGCACTCGTACTGCTACGGCTTCTGCTACGGCTACTGCTACTGCTAGTAGGACTGCTACTGGTACTGCCGCGGCTGCAGGAAAATACCGGTGCTGTCAACCATGTCGCTATTAGCCCCCCCCCCCCACCTCCCCCTAAACACACCCGGACCGCTCGAAAACAGAGGAAACTACCAGGCGCCAGGAGGCGCGCAAGGGTACTACTACTACTACGACGACGACTTCTACGACTACTACGACTACTACGACTACTACGACTACTACGACTACTACTACTACTACTACTACTACTACTACTGCTGCTCTTACTCCTACTCTTACTCCTGCTGCTACTCCTACTCCTACTCCTACTCCTCCTGCTCCTACTCCTACTGCTACTGCTACTGCTACTGATGCTGCTGCTGCCACTACCACTACTACTTACCACAACCACGACCACGAGCACTACCACTGCCACCGCCACTGACATACGCGGCCTTCGTCCTGAGCCAGGAGGGAGCCGATCAAAAAGCATTCAATTCAAGCCTACACACAGCCGGACACCCTAGCCTTAAACCCTACGATTCAGAAGCCCAAAGCCCAAAACCCTAAACCCTAGACCCTATAAACCCTACGATTCAGAAGCCCATCCAGGTCCCTCCAGCAGGCTGCAGAAACTGCCCCGGGAGCTGGTGGCTTTCCTGGACGGCGAGGCCGACGGTGGACGGTGGTCGCCAACCAGGCGGGTTTAGGGTTTAGAGTTTAGGGTTTAGGGTTTAGAGTTTGCCAACCAGGCTCTTGGCTCCAGGGATTTAGGGGTGGGGGTTTGAGGGTTCAGGGCAGATACAAGAGAAGGGCTCAAAGGGTTTAGAACTTGAAGTTTAATGTTCGAAGGGTTTGTATGTTTTGTGCTTGAGATGGGGTTTAGAGTTTGCCGCATTGCTTTCGGTTTTGCTTATGCTTTGTTTCGCTGTATACAATATGCCAATTTACAGTAACCATCATATACTACCATATTAGAATCTACTATCGAGGCCTTAGCCTCTGGCGACTCCATACACTGCCCATCCAGAAGCCAAATTCCACGATTTTGGGTTTAGGTCCTCAGCATAGCGTGGTATCGCATATGAGAGTGTGTGAGAGTTTGCTGTACTCCGATATGATATGCTCGAGCTGGTATATGACAGTGCATCATTTAGCATATCGTAGCATCCAGATGAGAGGGGTTTATATAGGAGTTGAAGACCTCGGCACCGACATCTGCAGGTGCACAACCTCGCCAACATCAAGCCACCCGAAGAGGACACAAAACAGACACCCGCCGAGCGCAGCATCAACCGAAATTCGGTTCGGTTGGGCAACCTCCCCTCTGGGCAAAGAGCTAGCACTGCACTGCCAGGTGGTGTGTCAAAACATCCCATGGAGCCTTGCATAGTCAGATCCCTAAACCCTAAACCCCTAAAACCCTAAACCCTAAACCGTTGGTCCTGGCGTCGTCTTGGCGACTAGGTGTATCGGGACTAGGAGTTTGGGACGGCTCTTCAGTCCTGCAATCCAGTACTACCTATTGCCTATAGTCTCCATTGTAGTTCCTTTTTTGGGTTTAAGCAATAATATAATAAGGAATTTGTAAGGTATCCCCAAAAAGGAACTACAATGGAGACTGTAGGTAAGTACCCTGAAGCCTAAAACCGTAAGAGCGACACAACAGCCACGATGGGTTCCCGGATTCCCCAGGTGGCAAGGTCGGAAATCTCGACGATCTCTTTGACGAGGAGGAGCTCGGTCGACAGGTAGGGCTGCTGTTTAAGACTAGGTTTAATGAGGGCAAGGGGAGATCCTGACTGGCTCCGAAGCTCTGACCACGAAGACTGAAAACCCTGCAGTGGACAGATCAGCCGAGCCGGTGCAAAAAGGATTAATGTAGGGGCCTTCAAAATTACCTCTAATATTTTACGGGTTCCTTATTTTAATTATAGTCTAAGGGGCCCCAAAATCTTATTCTAATTATTATTAAGGCCTCTATACACTTAACAGTCAAGGACACTCCCCCCAAGCCCGAAACAAAATCTGCAAGGTGGGTGGCAATGCTGGCAACGCTTCCAGTGATGCCCAAGCCTGGAAAGGATGGTACAAAATCAAAAGCAAGGCGAAGACCGCCGATGCAGCTGAACTCGAGGCTGCCCCAAAAAACCGGGGGTTTTGGGTTCAGGGGTGTAATATAGACTAAATGATTACAGATATTATTCTTCAAAGTTCCTTAGTATAACTATACTAGAAGAAGGAGCTCAGAACCCTATTCTAATTATTAACCCTCCTGCATCGGTCTGCAAGTTGCTCCCAGCAGCGCTATAGTTGGGCGTTTGTTCCCAGTTGAGCTGCTGCTTTTGAACTTGCCTTCCGCTGCAAGTCCGCGGAGCATTCCGTAGCCTTGGTTTAGGGGAGGGGCTTTATCGCCTTTCTGGCACCAGCTGGCATTTCAGTAACCGTTGAACTCTTGTTCGATTTCTCCTACTTTCAGTAGGTCACATTTTAAGACTTTATGTATATATATATATATATATAGATGTAAATATAAATACACAATGCACATATACAACCTTATCGCATTCGTTTATGCGCGTTACTCGGAACACCTACCCTAACCCCAGACCGGTCCAAGCCCTCTAACCCTAATGTAAGGGACTACATAATACCAATACTATTTTGGGGCTTCCTTGTTATAAATATAGTATAGGGGGCCCCAAACTCCTAAAAAAATATTAGAACTCCTAAACCCATCTTGCCAGAGGCCGCTGCCTTCGGCGCGACGCGTCCCACGTCCATCCTGGACACTCTCACCACGGCGCCCGCCGAGCAGACAGGTGCTTCGAAGGAAGTCATCGAGGCTGCTGGAAAATGGCAGGCTGTTTGCGAGGAGAAGGGCTTTATCTTAAATGGGCTTTCTTCGGGGGCAAACTGTTTATTCGAGGCTGTATGGGGGTTTGGGTTTAGGCTGGGTGTTCCAGAGCGGCTGCGGTAGCAGCTCTTGTGTATCGGCCTCGGTAACCCTTTTCTCCTACATTAAGGGCTTCATACCTCGGGATGTGGTTCTAAGCGGCAGAGCTCCAGGTGTAATGTTTCTTGGTATGTTACAGGAATGCTTACCGAGAAGAGAATTGAAGGAATAGTTGTGCCAGGAGACAGAAGCAGCGACGGAAGAGAGCACCAATTTCGCCAACGGCCTGCCACCTGGGATCGGGAAGCTTGCGGCCGTGTTGGTGAATCGCTTTGGTTCTTTGGAGAGCCTTGTCCATTCAGAACTTGACAGTAGCTTTGTTGTTTTGCCAAACATTTTTTTGTGCCACAAACCGAGTTCATCCACTCCTCGTTGTACTCTTACACCTCCTGCACCTCCACCTCCTACACCTCCCACTGATCCCGCTCCCACCCCTACCCCTACTCGTACTGACGACTACTCCTGCTCCCACGAATTCTCGTACTCCTCCTCCTTCTACTCCTGGTCCGACTCTTGCCAGCATTACTGAGCCGACTGCTGCTACTACTACTACTACTACCACTACTACTACCACTACTGCTGCAACTACCACTACTACTACTACTACGACGACGACTACTACTACTACTACTACTGCTACTACTACTACCACCACTACCACTACCACTACCACTACGGTGACCACTTTTTAACATGTGGAGGGCGGGCTCGGGCCACGAGCCACGGAGGTAGCATAAAATATCTATTTAAATCTCCGCATGTTTAAATGTATGTAAGTACCTTATACACACGTGCTACAC